CATTATTATGGGCGAAACTCATGTTCCCCACACTGAAGCACCCTCGCCCTTTCCCCACCACTTGAGATTCACATCATGCTGTGTTGTTGCTACTGACCTGGAATATGAGAAAATATGTTTGCAGTCTTTGAGGTTTCTCTTTCTACCTGCAGTCAAAGAAAACTACCAGTCAATTAAGCATAAAGTTTGAATAGTCTCCACAAATGAATGAGAGAAAACTGATGCCAAAGAGAGGGGATATCATTCATATTCTCTGGCTATCAGCTCAGAAGGCCCATCCACGTGCTGATCTTCTAATTGGGAGGGGCAGCCAATCACAAGAAAGTTGGTTTACAAGGGATGTGACCTGAAAGACAAAGGAGCAGGCTTGTTGCAGGCAGCAGATGAACGGGTGGAGTGCAGAAAGCCCCAGTATAAGGCAAAAATTATAATGAACTTGCAAAGCTACTCTAGTGCAGACCAATCATAAAGATACGGAGCTTTAAATGAGCACAGACCCCCTTTGATGTTGCAGGTCATACAGGTGGAGGTAATTTTCTCTGTATACTGCTGGCTGTCTAACATGGACGTACTGAAAGATGTAATTACTCTAGAAAAGCTCAAGTATCTGAAAGGTGTACTGACATTTAGCACTTGAGTGTTTTTGCACTTTCCTGAAAACATGTGAAGCATGAGGCTTTGAAGTTGTTAAAAGCCACTTTAGTGTAATGTTAATTATGCCTCTGCTTTTGAGTACTTTAGCCTGCTCTTGTTACCCTGATATTTGCTTTTTTGTGTGACTCCTCATTTCCTACAATCTCTAGAACAGAATCAGAAAGTGCTAAGCAACCCTGGCCTTGACCCACACAGCCACAATAGCCTGATTAATGAGCAATACACCAGGAAGTAGACAAGGATTATCCTCCAAGCTGTGCCAGGTCCTTTATTTTCTGTCATTTTCATGCGACCACTTATGGGTTCTCACTGTATCGTAATTCAGCTGCCTGGCAGTATTAAAAGAAGGGTTTGAGTAATCTTTTCTCCACTTTTATAAGTTCTTATACATTTTAGCCCAAAACTAAGATCACTTTGCATAGTAAAACTCAGCGGTATTGAGAGCAGGCTGTGTACTAATCCCAGGGTTAGAGGTTTAAACCACAGCCACTCTGCATGCTGAGGTGTCGTTTCAGTCTTTGTGCCTTCTGTTTGAGCTCGAGCTGCTGAGTTTAAAGCTGCAGTTCAACCCAAAAGAAATCGTCATGCTTTTTCTTGCTTCTATGATGATATGCATCTTGATTATTTTGCTTCATAGTGACAAAAAAAAAAACATCCGCAGGCTTTGATGCGAATAGTTTCACATAAGAACTATTTTCTATTTTACTGAACTGCACTCATTAATCCTATCACTCTGCAGATGCTTGTGACAACATGCCAGGAAGTAAATACCGATAACATCACTCCCTAACGCCAAAGTCATTCAGGCCTAGAGGACATTGGGAAAGCTCTGTAAGGGGAAAATGTTGATGGGGAAAATGTGTGTTCCCCAAACGGTTGGTCAGTGGTTGCTGGAGGTTGATGGCTGGTGCTTGGTAAAATCACTTGTAAAGTGGATGTTACAACAAAAATCTCCTTTGGGTTGCTATGGTCACCCTCAGCTTGTTTGGAAGATGCTGACTTGCGTGTAAACGCTAGTTTTCAGGAAGTTGTAGTGAGACCTGTGATGTAAAAGAGAAACAGAAAGTGATGCCTTTCAAAGTAAAGGTTTTGCCTGCCTGCTACAATCAACACATTTCACTAGGTGCAGCTTTTACTTTGAAAGTGAACATTCTCTGTTACTAGTTTTCACAGTTTCACTACCACTTAGCAAATATTGGAGATTATGTATCGGAATTTCAGGAGCAGGACCACACCTCCAAACGCGCTCCTTCCGGTTGTCATCTATATAGGTTCCCCCAGTTCTGCAAGCTGCTCATTCTCGTTTACGTGCCCCACCCTCCCTCCCTCCTTGCTCTCAATTCTTTAACTTCTTCATTTCTATTTAGTGCCTGGGGATCTGCTAGGCCCAGGAGCCATCACAAGTCCCCTTCAAGGGCTTCCCCAAACCGCAGCTCAATTCATGTCAAAGCATTCACTTTTACCTACTAAAGTGCTGTCAAACCTAAAATGAGGACATGGGCCCAGCCAGTGAAGTTGGCAAGTGTTTGCAGACAAATGGCCATCTGCCATGCAGACTAAGGTGACTGCGGCAACCTGCTAGCAACCAGGAAAACTGCAAGGAGTTGTTCAGTGAAGCACTGTATACCTCTTTGCAACCAGTCCCACACTAGCAACTGCTGGCAACCTCCAGCAACCAGTTTACACTTTTTTCCAGCAATCTGTGGTTGCCAACCAGTCTCTAGACCTGCTTGTAAACCAGAAAGTGGTTTACATCACATCACATCACAAAAGTGTTGCCCTTCAAAGTAAAAGTTTTGCCTTACTGCTACAATCAACACAATGCAATTTGTCTGCAAGCATTTGCCAACTACTTGCCAACCAGTCTCTAGGCCTGCTTGAATGTGGCTTTGGCAATCAATTTCACAGGGACAGCCATGAACCTCAGGCAACAGCCCGCAACCAGTAGGGTTGGCAAGAACACTTAAATGACCTTGAAAAGATTTGTGATGGTTTTGGGGGCAACCTGTCCATGATTTCTGTAAAGAGATGTTGCTGCTGAGTGTTTTTAAAGTATTTTTGGATTCTTGCGTTTGTACAGCTAATTATATTTATTCATTGTTTAGTTCTGTGATACAGCTGTGGTGTGTTGTAGACATTAGTATAAACTAAACATTTTTAAATATTGCCGTTAAACAGCTGGTGTGAAATAATAATATTAATAATAATATCCTCACTGTTTAAAAAAACAGCCTAATATATACCAACGCAAACCTCCATCAGCTGAACCTACATATTTTAAACATAAACACTCAAATCTAGAACATCTTAAACTCAAAGGGGTGAATAATTATTTTAGGAATTATTTTGGGGTGCATTTTTCCAACATCACCATCAATCATACGCCAGCATACATATAACCCTTCAAACAGCATGCCTGCCATGTAACAGCCTTTCTTTACAAATCCTGATGAATTCCAACTCAAGCCACAGGAGACGATTCACTCTAAAAATAGCACTTCCCATTACTGCTTAACTGGCTTTGACATGGAAAATTGATGGAGGTCTCCCTTATAAATACCACAATTCCACAATCAGAGTTAGGCTGTGAATGAATTCATTATTTAATGCCCAAGAATCAGAACAACTGTATGCCTACCTCTTTTAAGCCTTTCCCCCCTGACAGCAGTCATGTGTAGATTATGCCGTTGTCTGAATATGCACGGAAGAGTGTCTAAATGTTTATACGCTTTCTGATTAACGCTGCATCTGCGAGCTGTTTCAGTTGTTACGTGGGCAGTAAGATCTCAGCATCTCTGCATGCTCTGTCACAAAGTGCTCCACCTAAATGCCTCTACTACTTATCTTCCTCTGGGGATTACAAAGCATTGCAAATAAATGCCGAGTGGCGTAACTGACAACAATCACATTATTGCAGCATGCCTGGCGATAAGGCCCACTGTGCACTGCGGGGCTCTCTGTGTGGCCTTTCTGCAGCTATTTAAAAGTGGAACGCACACACAGAGAAACGAGAATCTTTGCAGTACGAAATAGTTTTGATGTGATGATTAATGTTCCTCTCACAGCCGACTCACCAGAAGCCAGAGACGAAGAGCACAAGTGTCACTGGACCTACTCATTATTTTGCCTGACAAATAAAGCAAACGGGTTTCTCTGCCAGATGCCCCTCTCGACATATAATACAATTAACTCACATCTCTTCCACTTAATTTCCCCACCATCACCTCATCATTTTCTTCCTCCGCCCGTCGCTGCCTGGCCACGGCTCCGCCTCTGGCCACAACACTGGAGAATGCCCTCAGTAAAGGTTATTACAGAAGGAGACAAACTTACACTGTGATCTTTAGCAGCAGGAGGCTTATCCACACAGGATTTTACACAATGTTAAATCTAACACATGGGCATCTACTTAGGTTATGATTAGCATTCTCGCACAGCCGAGGGCGCACGATTCTCTCTGTGGGAGGTGTTTTAAAGGCAGCTGAGGTTTTCAACAAAAAAAATCACAGAACTTGTCTCTCTTTCCTGAATACTTTCAAGTAATAAAACATGGCTTCATCAGATGGCTTCCACTTCAGCCAGCCCAATAAAAGTAAACTAAAGTGGGTGATGTGTGTGACCTCTGGCTTTTAAAAGGCCCCCTTAAAAACCTCTTACACTCGGAAAATAAAGTACCTTGTTGTACCCTTAGAGGTATAACAGCTTGTCACTGTGGTACTATCCTTTGTGGTATAGCTGTTATCCCTTTGACAGGGTGCACTTATGTGTATTAGTTTGTGCCTTCTGTGATACAAAAACTGACCTGGTTTAGTGCTGTCAGCGTTAATCTCGTTAAAATGACGTTAACGCCTTAACTGCATTAACGAGCTAACTGTGCTAATGCGTTAACACTATGCAGCCCCACGCACTGGGTGATCTGCGCTAACTCGCTAACTGAGATTTGCGGCGTTAATGCGGTTATGCCGTTAATGTCATTTTAACGAGATTAACACACTAGAATAAATATAAAATATTGTATTGTTATTATGCATATTTGTTATCATTCAGCTGCTCAGAAATAACACATTTCTAGCCTTACTGACCGTTCAAAGCCTTATCTGTCTCACATCTGCACCTACAGCTACCTTAGAAACACCAGTTATATTTATATTGCTCATTTGGGGCCATCTGACTGTCGGGGCTTTAGCTGAAGCAACTGTTGTTGTGATTCAGCACTATAGAAATGAAACTGAATAAAAATTTGAAGTGAATTGAAAATTTGCACATCTGGGAAGAAAACAGAGCAACCAGAGAGAGCTCACCAGGCACAGGAGTACATTTAAATCTACAGCCTAGTTGATGTGACAGATTCATAGTTATTCATTCAATTTAATAAAATAAAGGAACATCCATTTATTAGTTTTCTTCAGTTCTTATGAAATTCAAAGGTACCCCAGCTGTTGCTGGTGCACCTTGGACAGATCACAGAATAACAAGACAGTAAAACTGTACTTTTATCTTATTTAATTTCTTGTTTGCTTAAACACAGTCTACCTTGTCAAGCACTTAAAAAGAAGAAGAAGAAGAAACATGCACAAATGTTCACTTTTTAATGCTTGGGAACACTTATGTACCATTTTGGGCCTCAAAAAGGTCAAATTGGGCTAATCAATTAAACTTCCAGTTGTAAAAGCATACATTTCTGTAGATTGTACCCTTAAGGAGAAGAATGGCCTTCACCCCTACTTCTAAGAGTGTAGCTGTAAATTGAAATGCTGTAAGTAATCTTTTTGTCTGCTGAGTTACCTTACATGGCTGCTGCTGTTGCCGTGGAGAGAGGAAAATAACAGCCAGCTGCTCCAGAGGTGGAGCCGGTACGCATGAATGTAAGGCAGGCTGTCACTGGAAAACAACATGCACGCTCAGCATAAGTCCTGGCCAGGTGAGGTAAGGTTAATAAAACCTCACAGCTTCCCAGAGCAAAGTCATGAAGGAACCTTGTTCTGTGCCAGAGGTTTCTACCAATTATATCAGATTATCTGCACTTGAATGCATCGCTCTGTGAGCAAAATCGCAGAAAACTCCCCAGTATCCCAGTTACTTGATGCAAACCTCTGTTTTTCCCTTTGTTTCTCCCCCTTTTGAGCCAATGAACCTGTCAGAAAACATCTCCATGAGCTTGTACACAGAGAACAGAGAGGACCTAATTTTACATGTCGCTGTTTTAAACCCAAGGGGGAAGTCAGCAATTTCACTGCTTTCCTGCAGCGGAGAAAAACACAGCTGGAGTCTGGTGAGAACAGCAACAGTCAGGGGGGTTAGTTGCTCCCCTCAGCATTTCAAATCTCAAAAGACATCAATGGGGTTACGCAGAGCAGTGAACGAAATGTCGTCTATTTTGATTGAGATGGATTTTTCCCCCCTTTGTACTTTTCCCAGATCTGCTGTAAATTTGTTTTTCATGGTGGCGTTCATTCTGACAAAAACCTCGGTGCTGCAGGTTCAAGCAAAAGGGCACAGAAGAAAGCACAGAGCACTAAGCTGGCTGAAACACCGCTGGTTTCTGGAAACAGCTTGCACCAGAGCTAATCAAAGTTTTGTTTGTGGAAGTCTGGAAATGAGCTAAAAACTGGCCTGTTGAATTTTCATCACATTACAATAAGGATGATTCGGTTCTCCTTATTCTTCACGGTGCACGTGTTTGCATTATAAATATGCTACTGCTGTCACCTGCAGGGCAAACATAGCACTGCATGTCATCCTCTCTGAGTGTCGATTTGTTTTCCTGTACCAGAAAAAAGTCAAATTCATTAAAAATAGATGGGGCTGGAAAAGAGCAAACATCGTCTCCTCTGTCACGAATTATGTTTGCACAGATTTCTCTCCGCAAATAACATCCAGCGGCTTGTTAATGACAAGTCAGCAACAAATTCAAGTTTCCCTGATGGGTTCCCAGAAAACAAATTTACTGCAAAGAACAGGATGTACGGCTTCAGTAATGCAAAATGCAGCAGAAGGCAGACTTTAGATGTTAATCAGGAAAATTAAGACACACGAATATCCTCACTGATCCCAGTTAATCAGGACGAAGGTAAAAGAAATTTAGATCCAGGTGGATGAATCCACCGGTGGATTGTGGCATTTTGACTTTGGGCTGCTCCACTTGTGTTACAGTCTTTGAGTTTGTTTGTTTTGTTAAGCAGCTCTAACATTTAAATATCTGTAACTGACTGGATTAGACAGCTGCTGCTGAGGCTGCTGATGATGATGAAACACATCTGAATCCACCTTCTGACAGAAACACGTTTGCTTGACAGTGAACGCAAACACCAGATTGTTTAGTGTGCAGATATCGCTGCCATTACTCGATAAGACGATCTGTCAGGCAGCGCGGCTGAGAAACTCGCGTGCACCTGATTGTATCGCCCTGTTTTATTTCAAACTTTTATCCAAACAAGTTGCGGTGTTTCTTCTCCGTGAATATAAAGCAGATTGCGATTATAACTTATCATCTTCTGGGTCTTTGCTTCCAATTAAACGATGTTTTGATGATGAAAAAATAATTTCCTTTTGAAATACGGACTGATGAATTTTAGATTGTAGAAATTAAACCTTTCCCTTTTCCAAACACATTTATTCACTGATCTGTTCTTTCATTACGCAGATAAGCCAAATAATTAGCATGTAAAGCTACATCAAGACCGTTCTCTCAGTCATCTTTTTTTCATTCATCGCCTCTTTCAACAACTGATACCAATTATGTTCGAGTTCAAAAGGGGATTATGATCATGTTGTTGGGCTTCAAAGGTTGATGTCACTCTGTCCTCGGGGGCTAATGTGCAAACTAACCAGCTTTCAGCAATGAATAAACAAACATTTCCACATCTTCTCCTGCCAGACATTTTGCTTGGTTTCAAAAATAACATCATTTGAAATGATACTGAACAGCTTCTGCTCACCTACCAGGCTCTCCCAAAGAGACCAGCGGAGCAGAGTCTGGAGCAGGATTTGGAAGGGGGGGGCTCAAGACAGCCCCAGAGTCATGAAACTTTATTTCAGTGCCATATCCCAAAAATAGCACAGCTGAATATGATTTATTATCCTGCCAAACCACACGTTTTGAAAGTATTTACTTTATGTGGCTCAGTTTGTTTTATTGCCAACCAAATAATTTTTGCTATAATCCAAAAATATAATAATGGGACAGAAATCTCTGTGAAAACTGCTTCCCAGAACCACCTTCCCCATGACGGTGCTCCATTTCTGAAACTACCGCTCTAACATTTATATCCACCTCAGATGATGACCGGCCATCTAGTGAAGGCGAGGCCGGAGCTCCGGGCTCTACTGGCTCTGTTTTATTTATCACTCAGCTATCTGTTTCTCTTTAAACATAGATTGCATTTAAAAGATGGATGTAGGCATCATTAAGACCTCACGTGGGTACTTTTGGGGGTATTTCCTGTTGTCAACTCAAGTTTTTTTCTATCCAGACGAGACCACAGTTGGACGAGAGGACAGAGACATAAAAGAGGATAAGATAAAATACAGTTTATTTATCCCAAAAGACCAGAAATTATTCACACAGCGCACAACAGTTAAAACATTGAATACACCCTATAACAAATAAAGCTTAGACACATTAAATAAGCTCAATAAAAAATAAATACAATATAGATATAATACAATAAAAAACACAATAAATATCATCAATCAAAAACACTGGTATTCCCAGTGGATGTATGTTGAGCCCAACGCACCATCTGCACCTCTGATTCCATAATTAATCATTGGCTTAATTTCTTTTTAGGATGAAAACAGCTACAGTCTGGCAATGGACCATCTGACTGAGTGCTGTAGAGACAATGATCTGGCCCTAAACACCTCTAAAACAAAAGAGATGATTATTGACTTCAAGGGATCTGGGGTCAGGAAACAAAATCTCCCACTCCACATTCATGGTGAAATAGTGGAGACTGTAGAGAGCCTTAAGTACCTGGGAGTCACCCTCACAGTGCAGCTGACATGGTCCACTAACATCTCCCAGCTGGTCAAGAAGGCACAACAAAGACTCTTTATCCTCAGAAAGTTAAAACAAGCCAAACCTTTACAGAAAGTGTGCAGGAGTGCAGTGAAATCCATCCTGACAAATAGCAACAGTGTGGTATGCCAGCTGTGCTGCTGCAGAGAGGAAAGAGCTGCACCGAGTGGTGAGAGCATCAAAGAGTATTGTTGGGACGGAGCTCGCACATCTGGACTCCATCTCTGCCATCAGTTTGACGAAGGCAGACAGTATCAGCAAGGACAGTACACCAGTCTCGAACAGTTCTGAACAATCAAGACAGAAACAGGAACAGTTTTTACTCTAAAATGACAACTTCCACCACACTACACACTTTACTGTAAACATGGCACTGAAATACACACTTCAATACAAACACATATAATATGTGCATAATGCTGCTGTTTCCCTCCTCTTTTGGTTGTTTTTATTCATTCTATTTACTTATTGTTTTTATAATAAAGCCTTTTTACTATGTTTATTGATAATAAATATTCATTCAATCATCCGTATGCAGTTAAAATATAAAAAAAAACTTCAAATGCTGTCTTTTTCCAAATAACCACTTGAATTCCTTTATTCTTATCTCTTTAAATTTAGCCTAAAAAAACAAGCACAGAAGCCTTCATCAGGGAACGAAAGTGGGACTCCGTGGGAGTCCATATTCACCACAGCTGCAGTTGTTTTGATGACCTCAGTGTCAGACTCAGATTATCATCCCTGTGTCCCTAAAAGTCCCAAAGCCAGATGCTGTAGCCTACAAAGTGCAGCATCATCTCTGTGAAACACACTGTACTGCATACTGTAATATAATGCATAATATAAAACCACATAATAACTATATGCAGTTTTTGTGCTAGAGAAAATGAAAATTGACAAGCAAAAAAAAAACTTTTGGAAAACTGATGACGGGTGACGGTTGGAAGGTCGGGTAGTCGGGTATAGTGCTGCACCAAAAGTCTCCCTGTGACTATTTTGTTGTAAGCAGGTTGCTGCAGTCGCCAGTAGTTTGCATGGAAGACGCCGACTTGTCTGCAAACACTCGCTAACAGTTCAAAAGGTAGTGAAACTGAAAGGTGGTGAGAAACAAAGACCATTTATATTTAAAGTAAACATTATGCTTCTTGAAGTATGTTGATTGCAGCAGTAAAGCAGGCCATTTAATCTGAAGGTTTCAGGGTTTTTGCAGGTTTTGTCTCAAGTGTTTGCAGAAAAGATGCCGTCGTCTATGCATCGTCTAACGGCATCCACTGCAACCTGCCAGAGATCAAAGTAATCGTAAGGACGTTTTTAGTGTTGCAATATTTTTGGGGTGTTTTCATCTGATGAACAACATCCAGAAATGGCTCACCAACCAGTCCAGGAGTATTCAGTACCCCACCCTTTTCTAGGCCTGCACAACTGAGGCCCAACATTCAAATTTGGGTTGGCATCAAGCACGATTTTGTCACGGCACACTGAGAGGACTCAAACTTAGAGCTTACCACGATCAGTTTTACAAGATTTAACAAGGAAACTCAAGAATATTTTATGATCCCAATGGATCCGGCTGCAGACAGGCTAAATACACAAACAGTGGTTTCCAACTTTCTTTATTCAGCTTCAGCTCTGAATAAAGAAATGCCAGGGGTTTTTTTATATTTAAAATCTCTTTATCGCGTCCTCGTCAAGTCTTCCCAGCTCCCAGCAGCAGAGTCAGGGGCTGAACAGCTCTGAAAATGTGAGAAGAAAAATTCAGTCAGAGTTCACATTTTCAGTTCCTCCCCTGAGGGACCGCTTCACTAGCTTCTGTGCTCTTCATCACCTGCTGATTATCGCAGTCTGCTCAGTTCGTCACCCAGATGTCCAGAGGTCAGAAGCTAAACACACAAATGAAAGAAAAATAACTGTAATGTGAACATAAACTCTAATTTTATGACCCATGTAAACGGTAAATCACATTTACACAGCTTCCTCCTCCCTGCCACTTTATCTTTCATAATATGTCCTGCATGTATCACCATCACATCACTGTGATAAACAGCATGCAGGGAATGCAAACAAACCATTAATCTCCTTCTGCCAACAGAAAAACAACCCACACCGCAAACATTTCCTAAATAACCAACTCCTGCTTATTTACACTGCACTATTAAGGCTGCGAGGATGATGCAAACAATGAGACAGCGGTGTGTTTGCTTTAAAAAGGAACTGGAAGCAAAACCGTTTATGAATATTTTACTGTGGAGAGCGGAGAGCGACAAAGAGGACGTCTGGAGTCAGCTTTTGATAGTTTTTAAACGGCCCTGTGTGTGTTTGTGCGGCGTATGAGTAAATAACTGGAAGTAGCTGCGGCACTTTGTCTCCCTCGCTCTCTCTGAATACCTGCTGCCAAAGTACACAAGAGGAAATAATAAATAGAAATGCAAAAAGAGAACATCTGGTGGGAACAGTTAAATAAAAAACACATGAAAAATTATGATTATACTCAGGGAAAATACACAGGGGCCTTACAATAAACGCATGTGTTTTCCTTTGTTAAAATGCATTGGATATTTCTCTCCGAGTTATGACGCTGAAATCTGTCTCCCACACACAGAGCGAGCATTTTTTTTTTTTTTGGAAAGTGACCAATGCAGACATGAAAAGCAATCAGATGTGATTGTGTTTGTAATTGGAGAGGAGTTCTGTGTGGCTCCGTAGCAGAACATGGTTGATTGTGTTTGAATAGTTGCTGATTGACTGTAGCTCTGCTGCAGCCAAGCTGTGCACACTATGTGTCCAATAGTTTTCTTTTTCTTTTTAAAAAAAAGGAACTTGAAAATTGCTTCGTAAACTAAGGAGTTAACCATTTATTCCCCGTGCAATCATATTGCTCCTTAGGTCACAAATTCAGCCTGACTGCTGGACTGAAATAACTCTGGTGAAGAGTCGCCACTGGAAAGAAATGTGCAAGGATGGGTTTTGTAATGAAAAATGAACAAGCTGGGTGAGGCAAAGCGCCGTGCTGTGTGGGAAATAACACAGAAGTATTCAAAAGTGCTACTCTTGTGGAGAGGTAATTATTGTCTTTCATAAAAATAATATTCTTAGAAATACGAGTCATTTTTGGGGTTGTACATGCCACATTTCTGGAAGTTTCCTGAACAATAAATAATCTCACATGCAATAATATCACATAATCTCAATCAAATTGTAGCCCCACAGCTTAGCAGTCAGATTAAAAGAGTTTAGACTGGGTATGTCTGAAGACAACTACACAAAAGAGGAGTGTAAAGGCAGGTAAACACTGTGAAATCTCAGATTAAAGACAACCACGATGGAAGAATCACAGTAAAATCTTCGGTCACAGTTACAGAGACACAAAGTGGGTGTCATAATAATATTGTAACCAATGAAAGCCTGGGACAAAATTATGTTGTACCAGAAATTTTGTGTGACTCACAACACTTCATCCTACATCTGCATCATCATCACATCCAGAAAGAATAAATAAAGTGGAAAAAAAGTGGAGGAATTGTAGATCTGCCTTCAAGTCCAGCAGAAACCTCTGGTGAACTCAAGCTGTCTCAATAAAAAATGAGAGCCCTCACAGACTGTATATAAAAGATGGGCAGAGCTTCCAGAGGCCTGCGCTATGAAGCACGATTGAGTCTTATCCAGATAACTTCATGGTTAGGCTACAAACCTATACTGCAAAGCTAAGATATCTAAGATATCAGCATGTATGAAATCTGCTCTTCAGAAAAAATCATCACCATTCCTGGAAGAGCCCTCAGACCTCTGTGTGCAGGTAGTGGTAGGTTTATCAGTAATAAAGAGATTCTGAGGTGCAACTTTATTCCTTGAAATTTTCCCTGCTGATACAAACAATTTTACTAAAACTATTTTTCTATAAGCAAACATGACATCTATGCTGCTGACCTTATATCAAATTTGCACATAGACTAACCTTAGGTTTGAATTCTGTTCAAACGATCGTGGCTCAAGAGTTGGGATCCTTGTAATCGGAAGGTTGCTGGTTCGAGCCCCGGCTTGGACAGTCTCGGTCGTTGTGTCCTTGGGCAAGACACGTCACCCATTGCCTACTGGTGGTGGTCAGAGAGCCCAGTGGCGCCAGTGTCCGGCAGCCTCGCCTCTGTCAGTGCGCCCCAGGGTGGCTGTGGCTACAATATAGCTGCCATCACCTGTGTGTGAATGGGTGGATGACTGGATATGTAAAGCGCTTTGGGGTTCTTAGCGACTAGTAAAGCGCTATATAAATACAGGCCATTTACCATTTTACCATTTCTGTTGTTACATGTGAAACATCACTGAGGCTGTTAAATATTAATTTAATGGAATACTCAATGATAACCCATCCATTCATTTCATTAAATGATACAGTTGTAATACTGTTAACTCGTAACCAGCTTTGTGCGTCCTCTTATTCTGACCAATGTTGGGGTAAGTGAATCCAGATAACAGGAAGACTTATTTCATAGTATGGGCAAAGGTCTTAAAAGTGCAATCAATGTTGTCTTAAACATGCATTCTTAATAACAGCCAGCAGGTGGCAGAAATTCTGGTTGCAAAATAAAACAGACATTTTGTTCAATGGCTGGAAATTGTACAAAGTATCTTGTAGAGGAGATCAAAATGGCAAATGTTTCCTTTCGTTGAAAGAGATCCTTCCGTTGTTTCTGACATCAGTTTCAAACAGCTCGTTCAGTTGTAACCTCACCAGTTGCTGTTTGGTTGGTTTTGGTAAAATGTTAGATAAATGGAGTGGAAACGGTTAATTTACCTCAGTAAAGAAACATAACTAAAAAATTGTGCAAAATAATAAAATCATATGTGCAATTTGAAATAACCTTTTTCTGAAATTAAATCCACTGAAGTCTATTTTCAGTATCCCAAAAACAATTTGTTTATTTTTCATAGACTGTTACAAATATCTCCTTCTATGGTTGTAACTGTACCCAGCAAGACAAAGGTCTGTGTTTACAGCACAGCAGGGCATCGCTGGGGTCTCCTTTCCCTTTCAGTGATGATCTGCCCTCTATCTTTTTTCTCCTCTCCCCGTTTCTGCTATTGTCTGTGTTCCCTCCATGGAGCCATGACTGTGACTGGTCTCACCTGGCTCGCTGGTTTGCACACCTGCACTCAATCTTTAATCAGTCTCCCTCTGCATTTAATCCCTCGCCCATCCATCCAATTTTGCCAGATTGCTCTGCTGGCTAAGTAGAGGTACCATGCAGGGTCGCTAGTATTTGCACTGTAATCTTTCTGGAGAGTTTAACTAAGACCAGAGCTTTTCCCTCTGGACATAACTCTGGGTTTTCTGCCTTTACTCTGACCTTCTCATGTATGCCACCAGCCACCCTGCCTCCGTTCCCTCTGCCTGCTCCCTGTCCTCACTATCTCTCTGCTTTAGTCATTTCATGTTTCTATACTTCTCTGCTTCAGTTCACCACTCCAGACCTGTAACGTTAACAGAAATGGCCATGGTGACAGCACCCGTTAGTTGCTATGCTCCTTATTTTGAAACATCAGTGATTGTGTTTTAGACTCAGCTGTTGTTGCTGATGTTTCCATATTTGGCAGGATGGAGCAGTAACTTATCTTTTAGAGTTAGCAAGCCTGGTTAGCAACCTGCATTGTGCAACACGTGGCAAAAACAACAGATTTATTTGCACAGCCTGTACCTGTAACATTCCTAACTAAAGCAGGCACATCCCTAGCCTCAGGCTTCAACCAAACCAAATGGTTTTGTAATTTGTCAGTTGTTATGAATCAGCTACAGAGATGGATCAGGCTATTAAAAAAAATCTGAATTTCATGCCAAGAATTGGACGCTTTAATGTGGGACTCTGAGGAAATACTTAAAATGCTTTTCAAGCCACCCTCAAACTAGAGAAGCTGCAGTTGTTTGACTTCATTTTTCAGCCAAGAAGATTGCCACTTGGTTTACAAGAAAACCGATGTCATCGACCACTTTGGGGAGGTGACGGTCTAGACATCTGTGGACTTTTCTTTGAAATAACTGAAAGATAAGTAGTTTTGATTGGAGCAGGAATCTTCAGGAGGGCTCTCATCTGAATCATATTTGGGGTCTGCCTCTTCAGCATGACACCAAAGAGGAGGTAGTCCAGTAACTGATAAAAAGACCACTGAATGGTAAGTATTTGTATAGCGCTTTACTTGGTCCTAAGGACCCCAAAGCACTTTACACAATTATCCACACACACATTGGTGATGGAAAGCTACAGTGTAGCCACAGCCGCCCTGGGGCGCACTGACAGAGGCGAGGCTGCCGGACACTGCCGCCACCGGGCCCTCTGACCACCACCAGTAGGCAACAGGTGAAGTGTCTTGCCCAAGGACACAACGACCGAGACTGTCCAAGCCGGGGCTCGAACCGGCAACTTTCCGATTACAAGACGAACGCCCAACTCTTGAGCCACGATCGCCCCTGAAAACAGTGAAGAGCTGGTTTAAAATAAGTGAAGGACGGTATAAAGGGTTCAGTCAGGCAGCTCTGAGGGTTGTGGTAGTTCTTTCTAGATTAAGTTTTACTGGGCTTTTGAAATATTTTCATATTCTTGAGGCTAAAGTCAAAGAGACTTTATTTATCCCCAAGGGGCAATTCAGATAGATGACACCTTGCCGACCATACATACAATACACAAACATCACATTGGGGAGACAGGTCAGGCTAGGTAGCACTGGCCGGTCGACCACATGAGCAGCGACCCCGAACCGAAACCATAGAAAATGCACAGCATGAGGAAAGACGAGGAGAAAAAAAAGAACTCCCCCAGACTGAGCTTCAGCAGGGAGATCAGTTTGAGAACAGGAAAAAAACCACCTCAGCACATGAATCATCACATCTCACAAC